AATGTTTTTAAGGTATTAAATCCATCGTTGATTTTTCCCACAGCCGACTTACGCGTTCGAAGAAGCCAGGGTAATTGAGAATCACAGTGGGTCGGAAGATTTCTTAACTGGCCCTCTAGACCTCCCCATCTCCAGACACCTTTCGCCACGGGTCAGGAGAAGTGCTCGCCCTTCCCTGGCGTCGATGTTCCCTGCGCTGTGCCTCAGGCCGCAGCTCGGGCTCAAACCGCAGCCACCTGGATGTAGCGGAGTGCGGAGGCTGAGCTGGACGAACTAAAAGTTGAGGCTGAACTGGATTAACTAAAAGTTGAAGGTTAACGGGGTGCCTTGCATTAGCACACTAACTCATCGAAACTATTAAGATATTATTTCCGTTCCACAGATGAGACCACCAGGTTCAAGATGAACATGGTCCCAGACAGCCCTGAACACCTGTTCTAGGTGGCACAAAGTCACAGCCCATTCTAGACAGCATGGAGGGGGAGCACCAGTGTGTGCTGCCAGGAAGAGGAATGGGCCCTGCTCTTTGCTCCTGTGAAGCACAGGGGCCCTGGCAGGAAGCTCAGAGCACGTGGTTATGAGATTCCCCAAAATCCCTGCCCTCCAGGGCTTCCAATGAGCGAGGAATTCAGACCTCTCTCACCCCAACATCTCCTTCTGGAAGATCCTGGCCTTTAGGGGAGCATAGGGGAGTATGAGGTCAGCATTAGCTCATGGTTTTACATCTTCAGTGTTCACAGTCTCTAAAACCCAGCCACCAGCTTTGGAGGTGGGTAGGTAGTAACAGCAATATCAAGGATAGGAACCACTGTTTATTTTAGTTTATTATGTCCCAGGAACTGTCTAAGCACTTCGCTTTTCTCATGGAATAATCCTGAAGGCAAACTACTATTATTTATGAACATCTCAGTGATGGAAAAAATAGGCACAGAGAGGCTAAGTAACTTGTCTAAGGTCACACAGTTCCGTTGTGAATGCAAGCCTCTTTGTGTGGGGCAGGTTGATTACGGTATACGATTACGGCATACATTTAGTAAAATTTGTTCTCTGTCGTGTGCAGTTCTGAGTTTTGAAAAACATACACAAGTTGTGTAATTACCACCACAGTCAAGAAGTACCATAGTTCTATCCCCCACCACCTCCCAGAAAAAAAAAGACCTGACTGCTACCCTCCTGCCTCCGAGGCAGCATTGAATGCATTTTTACATATGACAAAAATGAAGTCAGTTCGGAGACATTCCAGTGTCACCGGAAGTCATTCAGTAAGCGACAGATCTCATATCTGGGTTTAGAACCTTCTCCAGGTGCCTGTAGATGATAGATTCTTTGGGTTTACAGAGCCTAATGCCAGTGGTTTGGGGAACACATGGCAAGAGAGATGAGGCCCTTTGCTCTGACCAGGAACCTTAGAAATAAATCCCCCTACCTCCCATTACCTGCACAGTTACTTAACAAAATACCCACTTTGTGCTTGGCTAAAGAACAAAGGGGCCCCTCATTCTGCAAGACCCAAAGCCTGGAGTAAAAGTGAACAGCTGGGAGCTCAGGGTCGCATCCAGACCAGAGCGCCCAGCGCCCTGGCGCGCCTCCACTGGCCAGTGCAGTTAATGAGTTACTGTCCTGGTTAATTCCCGCCCAGGTCAGGGCCCGGTGGCAGAACCTTTGCGGGCTCCTCAGGTCGAGGCGCATGAATTAGCATAGATTACCCAGTTTACCGAGCTTCCGCACCGCACCGTCCCTGACACACCGGAACGCCCCCCTTCCCCCCGCGCGCTTAGGGCTGGAGACGTGGGATACCCTGTCTTGAATGCAGGCTCCAGAACCCGCTGCTCCCTCACCCTCACCCAGTGGCCAGCCAGCCAGCGCCCCCAGGACAAACTTGGTCCTCAGAGGTGGGTGGAGGATGCTGCAGCCCTAGACAAATATTCCCACCTGGGCCTAGAGGCTGCAGAGTGGGGTCTCTAGCTAGTCACTGGCTCCCGGGACCTCTCCTAACACCTCCTGGATGAAGCTGGAAGGGTTGAGGGAATATGGACTACACTTTAGCAGTCAAGGCTAAACATTTTAAAAAGAGGAGGAGACCCTTACATATTGTACACCATTTGGGCTCTCCTCATCTCCAAACACAAACTGGACTCCCCTTGCCCTCAAGGTCAACGACTTTATACCTCCAGCCAAGCTAACTGGGTAATAAAGGACCATTCTCTGCCTGACACTGTGGGTGGGGATTTTAGTGTGCTGGCTTTGCATCTCTGGAGTTTCAGGGGCCTGGCCCCCCAGTAGTAGTCCTCTTCCAGAGGTTTATGAGGAGAAGGGTGCCCTCTTTCCTGCTTGCCCTGGGACCAGGGATCCACAGCTGCCTAAACTGGGTTTTTGTTTCCAGCTTCTGAAATCCAAGGGATGACCCCTAACTCTTTATCAGGATTGCTCTCTGGGCGCAGCCAAAAACCCTCCTCCCTTCACTGTGGCCTTAGGCTCTCTGCCTTCCTGGGATTTGTGGAGCTTCTCTCCCCACGTCCTTATTAAAGAAGGGATTTCCCGGCTAGAGACAATATTTGGGGAACTGTGGTTTAGGCCTGAGGAAGGTGTGCTTAGAATGCTCCCCCATCCCAAGGGACTGAATCCAATGTCCAGAATCTTTGCTACTGGACAAAAAAGAAGAGGGAAGAGTCTATCAACTCACAAAGGGTGATGACCCCGCCAGCCAGGATGCCCAGCTGGAATTGGTGCTCCAGAGGTAGGGGCAGGTTTCTCCCACCGTGAGGGCAAAGCTGAGCCTCACACCTGTCTTGTGTGTAAATGTGTGCACACGCACACACACTCATGTGGGTACTCACCTGGGAAGGTTGAGGGGGCAGCAAAAATGGTCTCTGCTAGCTCTGCACTAAAAGCTCTGCCCCCCCCCAGCACTCTCCCCCCAGAACTCCCAACTCCTCTCTTGCCTAGAGGGTTTTGCGAAGAGGGCTTGATTTTCTCTCCAACCCCAAAACACAACACTATGCCTAGAGTAAGACCCAGAAGCTGACACAAATACACAGCAGATTAAAGCAGGGGAAGTAACTAGGAGACCCTGGAGCAGGGGAGAAGATAGGAAGGGGGCGTGCAGTGTGTCCTG